GGCAACAAATCCGAGCACTCGTCCAACAGTTCCGACTCAGACAGCGATTAGTCCGCCTCTCGAATACGATATATAATTATATTTCATGTGTTTTTCAAATTGTTTTTTAAAATCATTTCATTTGCAAAAAAAATAATATGTATTTTGTGTGAGAATTGTATGAATGGAATCGAGAATTTCATTATAATATTTTAATGTAATAAAAATCAATTAAATATCATTATTAACGCAAATAATGTTTGGCTAATCGAGCGTAAAGTGATGACAATTTGTCAAACAATTGAAAAAATGATTCAATATATTAATACCCGGGTATTAACGCAATTGCAGACAATGTATGGTCAGTACTTTTTTAGTGCATTTGTAACAAAAAAAATTGCATCAAATTTGCAATATATTTGAAATACTTTGAAATACTGGTATCATTATTAAACAATGTTGAATAGTGTACTATTATTTTTATAGCCTTAAGTGCACTATACTTTACAGTCGGGCATTGAAAGGTAGTGTTAATAAAAGTAGAAAAACCACATTATTATTAACACTTGCCATTAATTTTATGAAATCGATGTCAACAGGGTTACTTTATCAATAAAATTTTAGACCCTAGGACTGTACTAGTTTGGAGATAGATTTGTTACCCCGTTGTACTCAAAATGCACTTAAAAGTGAACTTAATGCACTTTATAAAATAATTCACTGCCCCTTCACAGTATGAAATAAAGTGTACAATTATTTGTTAATTTTTTTGTTTGTTTTATTTTTTTTATTCAGCAAGACAAAAATACAAGACGAGAAGATTAGATATCATATATTTAATTAAAACTTATGTTCAATATAAGAATTCCTATTGAAAGCAACATTTGATTGAATGAATAAGTTTTTAAAGTGCTTTTATGTGCTGACAATGAAAAGTGTCAAAAATTATCTTATTTTTGTTATATTTATATGCATTTCATATTACGTCAAAACCAGCGCTAAAAGTATAAGCGTTTCGTTAGAGAGCGGAATAATTATCGGCAAATGTGAGACACATAACAATAAACGCGTGGATGTATTTGTGGGCATTCCTTACGCCGAACCACCCGTCGGGCGATTCAGATTCAAGAGACCGGTGCCCGCCTTGAAGTGGTCACAGCCTTTGAATGCGACCAAATGGCCGAACCCTTGCTATCAATTACCTCTTCTCATCACATCCATGACAAACACCAATTTCAGCGAAGATTGTCTTTATTTAAATATATGGTCACCAAATAGTTCCCAATCGGATGACAATCTGAAAGCAGTGATGTTTTTCATACACTCCGGAAGTTTTCTTTACGGAACCGCAAGTGACCGACACATTGACGGCATTGCTTTGTCCGCAACGGGAGATGTGGTCGTCGTTACCATTAATTATAGATTAAATGCTTTTGGATTTTTCTATACGGGAACAGACGATAGTCCCGGAAATATGGGTTTATTTGATCAGTCGTTAGCGCTTGAATGGGTTAACGACAATATCCGTTACTTCGGTGGCGACCCGAATCGGGTCACTGTGTTTGGAGAGAGTTCGGGCGCCTGGGCTACCAGTTTGCACATAATATCGCCAATCAATCAAAACCTATTCAAAAACGCTATACTTATGTCCGGCGCAGCACTTAATTACGGTTTAGTGGTTGAGCCAAACGTTGCGCTCAGATATTGGTTAAAACACACGGAATCTATCGGTTGTTGCAATGATAACGACACTTGTGGTCACAAATTTACGGCCAAAACCATTGAATGCTTAAGAAATATATCGCCAGAAAAGTTGGTGTCACTCGTGAGGACGCCTTTCGATATAAATAGTAAATTCATTGCTATTCAACCACTCATTGTATTTGATGGCAATTTTTTGCCTAAAGATTCCCTTCAAGTGATCGATGAAAATAATTTCAACAAAAATATTAATCTTATGGTCGGAACCAAAAGAGACGAAGGATCGCCACTTTTGGCCATTTTTATAGATGCCGTGAAATATCATCCCTTTTCTCCCGTAAACATCACATTCAACGAGGCTTTCAATGAATTGAAACAATTATCGTCAAAATGGGTGTCAAAAGTTGCTATCAATGGTGAAGATGTGGCCAAACTATACTTTACGGGTCTGTCCGACAGGAATAGTCAGCATTTATTGCGACAAACGATAGGCATTGGTTTGGGTGATCTGTTCAGCACATGTCCTACCATTCAATTTGCAAAGAGTTTTGCAAATAAAACTCATAATAAAGTGTTTCAATACTTTTATAATATTAAAACGGGCAAAGAGTCACCACATTGTTCCCAATGGATGGATATTTGCGACACATATGACAACTTCCCTGTATTTGGTATGCCTTTCATTCAAGAAAATGATAGGAATATAGAATATTCTGACTTTCATAGAAAAATATCAAATGAAATGATTGACATTTTCACTACATTTGCAAAAACTGGGTTTGTTTTAAATTAAATATTATTTAATAATAAATTTAATATTTCTCGATTTAGATCTCCCGGTGCTGTCAGTGGTATTCAATGGCCTCAATATTACACAATAAACGATCAAATCATTGCCCCTTATTATGAGATAAATGGCAAACAAAAGGTTAAATTATTTGAAAACGGACTCAAAATCAATGAATGCGAGTACTTATGGAAAAATACATATAACAGTAAATTTCACATAAAATAAATTTGTGTAATAATCGTGATCTCTATAACAAGACATTGAAACCGTTAAAGACCATGGCCATTCATTCATTGTATACACCTAATGCATTTATTTAGTTTATTAAATTATTAATTCTAGTTTTAATAACAGAATATAATTATTAAATAATTTTAATAAAGTAAATTTTTAAAGTAAAAAACTTTTCTAAATTATTTATTTATTTTATAACCAAAAATCAATGCTAATTACGGGCGCATGTGTTAAATGTGTATAATGTTTACACTATTTAAAAACTTCACACAAAATTAACAACACTATCACATGTATTGGTTAAGTGAATGAACATCTATTTATAAACACTTTTTTGTGCATTAAAAGCCTTTCCTCTTTAATAACGTAGAAATTTCCGATTCCTTACATGACATACACTTAACTATTATATTAAGGCAAATGTAGGCGTATTTAAGTGAATACAGTACTGGTGTTAAGAAAAACAAATGATTTTACACTTATTTACTGTTAATTCATATATAACTTACATAATAATATGCCTTACAATATAGTGAATGCATGAATTTTATGCAGTACCATATTATACGATATACAAGTAACCAAGTTAATTTACATACGTTTAAAACATAATGTCATCTAATATCACTAATTTCATTAATACTCTACGGAATAACGAGTTAAAACACATGCAAATTAATATTAACACCGATTACTGTAAGAGTAAATGCGGTATTTTGCGGGCCATTCAAGTTGTTAGTAAATTATACATGTTTAATTGTATATATGCTTGAAATAATTGCGTTTTTATATAATAACCAACAGGGTTTAGGTGTAATATGTTTCATAACGATCATGGTGAGTTGCAATAATAACTACGATCCGTATAATCAGCAATATTCGGGTTTCATCGGCGGTAAGTCTGAGACGGCATTCATACTGATTGTGTGGTCAGTACTGATGTGGTCCGCACTACTGATGCTGTGCTATACCTTTTCAACACAAATGGCAACCGATATCCCAAAGACTAGTTTTGTGTGTAGTTTTATCTCATTTTATTATTAACAGTAATAAGTTTTTGAATGCACACTCTTTGATTGCGCACTCTTAGCTTTCACTGTACTATTTGCTATATAGTAAGAACAATACAGTGAAAGCCAGTTTTGGGTAAAAGTGCGCAAATAAAGAGTGAGCATTCAAAAACTTAGTAGTGTAATATAACATTTAAAATATATTTATTATTTTTTTACAGGAAATTGCATTAAATTCGTTGTCATTTATATTGTATCTGATTATGTCATTCATATTATTAATTGAAGTTTCCATCAGAAATAGACATCCATTAAATGGTATATCAGAGCCAGGATTTGCCGGCAAAATAGTCGCATCGGTAGGTCTGCCCCATAACTAACACATTATTATATTCATTATATTTCATTTGATTGTTTTAATAGGTGTTTGGATTTATACTATCAGTCGTTTACGGGTTTAGTGTATATTATTTCTATAAACTTTATAAAACATTGTTAGATGTGGTGTAAATACAAAGTAACAAATAAATCTGTTATTTATATAATTATTTTATTTTATTAACTATTTGTAATTTTATTAATTAATATTAATAAAAAATACCTGGGCAAAGAATATTCTTGTATAATAAATACTACAAGTTTTAATACATAATAATTAAACTAAATAAATGTAAAACAAAATAGTTTAAATGTAGTCAAAGATACAAACAATTAATTTTCACACAAATAAAACACATTAATTAAAAAGCAATTAATTTTGATCACAATTGAAATCAATACCGGAATCCAGTGTTAAGTCAAACTCAACATAATTTGTGTGCAAAACATAGACATCACTCGCAATGCATGACGTAATGCACACGTGATGTGAAGCGACAATCAATTCAAACACAAACACAACAAAAACCTTGAAATGAAAGCAAAACCAAAACAAAACAATAAAACCATTTCAACAAAACTTTGCCATTGATTATCATCACCTCATCTGATCCGCTATAACCACTACACCGCACACTATCACCGCATGTGCTGAACGACATCGATCTTGAGTTTGTCGTCATCCGAGTCGGAAGAGCTGTCGGAATCGATGTATTCCTTGGACTTAAACTTTCCGGGTTTCGACGGTTTCGCCTGATCTGCGGTCTGATGGATGTGAACGCGGCCTCTATTCTCCTTACTCTTGCGGGCCTTGTCTTTGCGGACCCGTCTCTCCTCTTCCCTCCGTTTCCTTCTCTCCTCATTCCTCTCCTTCACGTCTTCGTCGGATCCGGACTCCGATCGGTCTCTCTTCCTGCGCTTGCGTTTGCGCTCGTGTTTCGAGACCTCCCCTTCGGCCAGATTTAGCGGCCGTTTAATGCGATCCTTATTCTCGCCGTCCGACGAGCTGTCGTTGACGAAGCCGTCCTCATCCACGTACCGCTTCCGCCCTTTCCTGGGCTTGTCTTCGCTCACTTCGGCGAACAATAGTTTACTCTTCGACTGCTCCACAAACTGTTGCCTCTTGAGAATGAGCTCCTGTTCCACTTTCACCCGCTCCTCCTCTTTCACCCTTTGCTCGTTCAGCATCTTCTGTCGCAAAGCCTCCCTCTCCTCCTCCTGTTTGCGACGGATCTCCTGTTCCTCTTCGTCCGTACGTCGGGCTCTCACCACATGATACTGAGCCTAAGATTGGGCAAAAAATAGACAATAGATTTAATGATTAATTATACAAATGATTGCCTTCAATGGCATACCTGTGCCAATAAGTCCTGACACTGTCTTTCTTCGATTTCGGCCAATTGGAGATCGAATCGCATTTTGTCGCCATTTTTCTTAAGGAAAGAGAAGTACTTCTGCGCTAAACCCAACTCATGGACGGCCGACAACACAGTACTCAACGAACTCTTCGTGTCCTCCAATACACTGGCGGCCAGTTTCTGGAGAACGAGCGCCAGATTGTAGAGCAAAAGCGTGTCGTGAGGGTTGACCCGTCGGGCGCGGAGGAGGACATTACGACACTGTCTAAGTTTACCCCATTTGAAGTAAGCTCTGGCCATATATAACAACACTTCGGTGTTTGTGTGGCTATAGAAACGGCGCAAACAATTCTCGTACATCTGAATGGCGTTCACGTATTGCTTTAACTCGACGTAAATGTGAGCGATGTTTACCCACACGTCCGGGAAGTCGGCCGTCGACTCCCGAACCTGAGAGAACACATCGCGCGCTTCGCTAACGTAGCCCTTGTGGGCCAACACAGAGCCGATACCATTGGCCGCCCAGATATTCTTCGGGTCAATCTTCAACACCTGTCGATACATCTGAATGGCTCTCTCCTGATGGCGCTTCTCTTTGTCCTTATCCTTCGAGGGCTGATGTAATGTCTGGAGCCATACGTTGCCCAACGCCACGATTGAGTACGTGTCCTGAGAGGTGGCCTCCTGTGCCAGAATGCGCTCAAACTTCTTCTGCCCCGGACCCCACTCCTGCTTAGCCAAGTGCAGGTTCCCGATCAGTGACCACGCGTCAGCATGGTCCTTTTCCACCTACAAAAACCATCACCAATTCATAAACAATNCGTGTCCTGAGAGGTGGCCTCCTGTGCCAGAATGCGCTCAAACTTCTTCTGCCCCGGACCCCACTCCTGCTTAGCCAAGTGCAGGTTCCCGATCAGTGACCACGCGTCAGCATGGTCCTTTTCCACCTACAAAAACCATCACCAATTCATAAACAATTAATATTTTGTTTCATTTTAATGTTAAATGTGTTAATTATCTCGATGTCAGACCTGAAGGGCCTCTTTAAACCAATCGCTGGCCTCATAGATCTGTCCCAAATCCCTGGCCATACACCCGAGCCGTAGATAACAGTCCACGTAATTGGGATGCTCTCGAAGGATGTTCTTATAGATGGTCTCGGCTTTGTTGTAGTCGTGGTTCGCTTCGTGAAGTCGCGCCAAATTGTAGTTAATGGTCACCGAAATGGACTTAAAGTAGTGCTCTTCCACCTCGTGCTCCATCTCTTCGTTACACCGCTTCAGTGCCAACGAGTAGTGATTCATCGCTTCCTTAATATTGCCTAAACGGAAATGAAGTGCCGCCACATTGTTGTAGATCTCGGCCGGGATTTCCACGTTTATGGCATTCCTCGAGATCTCTTTGAATATCTTAATGGCTGTCCCGTAACCGTTGAGAGCGCCTACCATTTCAATGCAATCGTTTAGTCAAATAGTGATCACTGGAACCGATGGCAACACACATACCCTGCAGGTCGGACTGTTCGAGAATCTGTGCCAATTCAATCCAGGCCTCGACGTCGTCCGGATGCTGTTCAGTGACTTTCTTGAGAAACTGTTTGGCGTTATCTCTCTTCGCCTGATTGGGTGACTGCGCATAGAGTGAGCCCAAGATCTTCATTGTCTCGTAATTATTGGGATTAGATTTGAGCACTTTCTCGAAACACTGGGCGGCGTTATCGGCGTCTCCCCTATGGATATACATCTGACCCAAACCGAAGTTCGGCAATACGAACGACGCCGACGCGAATTGGGTCGCCTGATAGTAGTACTGGAAGGCCTGTCGTCGCCACACAAACACCCGGTGCCACACATGCGGACACAGTATTAGTACATTTGTTTTGCGCGCAAACAGTGAGTCTGCAAATACCTGATCGAAGTCCTCCTGAATGTGAAAACTTCTGGCCATTTGGTAACAGCTCTCGGCTCTCATCGACTCGTTCTCCGTGTTGTGGAAGGCGTGAAGCGCCAGATGTTGTACTTTCTGGTAGTCCTTCTTGAAGAAGAAATGATTGGCCAAATGGTTGAGAACCATGGGATGCGTCGGATCGATGGTATAGGCTTTGGACAGCATCTGAACGCCGCGTCGAATCGAATCCGATGTCTTCAGATTGAGCTCCAGTATGGATAGGCCGACGAGTGCGCCGACACACTGGGGGTCGAGCTGTAGGGCCCTCTCGAACGCGAGTTTAGCCTTTTCTGGTTTATTCATTTTGTAGAAACAGTGACCCATTCCTAGCCTCACATTCGCCGGACAGTTGGGGTTTATTCGCAGCGCCTTCTTGTAGAAAGTGAGCGCCGTTTTGGGCTCTTTCTTATTGAAACTGATGCACGCCTTCCCTATAGTCCGCACACAATACACAACACAGATATATACGGATCCGTTCGAGTGATCGACAAGTATTATGGGATAGAGTGTGCAATGCTTACCGAGAAGAGATGGTATATTGTTGGGCGCCTGATTGAGTACGAAAGTGAACTGAGCGTCAGCTTGGTCCATTTTGTCGGGTTCGGACAGACAGAAGTGAGCCCTACCGACGAGATGGTTGGGCTCATACATGACAATCTTGTCGGCGTTGGTGTAGAGGACAGTCGCCTGAG